GGGGGGGGGGGGAGGGAGGGGGGGAAGGAAGGCACGTGCCACGTGCATTCGGTTCGTGGTGTTTCGTATAAGGGAGGTTGGGTTAGGTTGGGTCGATTCGATTTAGAATGCAGGAGTATCTGGACCCGTGATTACAATGCAGTTTACGGTCGGTACTAATGGCATTAGGCAGTTACGCTTCGAGCGTCAAACATTAACCATACACACGTTAGAGAAAATCAAAGCTAAAAGCTTCGTTCTGTCTTACACGTCATACAGCAGGATGCGCAAATTGCAGTAGCTTCTAATTGGAAAGGTTGGCGCTTACGTGTAAATTCAACTTCAATTTACGTGCTCTGTGCACGCGTGCATATTCAATGGCTAATTTATACGAGCTAAATCGTCATTCGATTGGAAACTTCAACTTTAATTCTAACTGGGTATAATTATACGGTAAGCTCGTGCTAATAAATTTAATAATACTTTTTGCAAATAAATTATAACGCCTTATCGAAAAGTCTATCCAACTTGGAATTTTCTCTGTTGTGTATATTTATATGCAATATCATTGTGACAGCCGACAAACATATCGACCTGAACTTTGCGAATTCGTCGAAGAAACTTTTTTCCTTTTTCAACTCGTGTACGACTATGCGGATATGACGCTGGAATAGACAACTTTCGAAGTGTCTTAAAGAAGTTGAATATTTGCTAGGAAAAATTTTTGGCGAATATAGGTTATCGCATGAAAACAACATACGCAGGACCGTATATGCGCGTAGATTCATTTTCAAAATGCGAATATCAATCGAGAGTGTCTATTATACTCTGCATTGCTATCGTTGAGTTTAGTGTCTTTAACTCAAGGTCACTGTAATACTCGTCATACGTATAATATAGCACAATGGAAAAAATCGCAAATCGAGTTATAAAAAAGAATGCTTAAACTCACGTGTCCGTAGGATGCTCGCTTTTTGTTGGAAAATCTGAAATTAAAGAAATATTCGTGTTAGTTTGCATTTTAATGAGCGGTGCAAAAGGGTACATTAAAAGAGTGAATCGGCGGAAGGGAATGAGATAAGATGTAAGAGTTACCGAGGAAAAAAAGAATAAAGGGGTAAAAATGTATGGGGGTCGGTGGGACGGGGGAGAGAGAGAGAAGGAAGAGAGAAGGAAGAGAGAAGGAAGAGAGAAGGCGCAGTCTCGGATTGGCGCGGCGAACATTGGCAAAGGCTGGCCGCGTGTTAGTTGCTCAGTTTCGGTCCAGAGCTAAGCGGGTTTCCTTGCGGATCGAGGCTCTTCGGTAATTTTGTGTTTTTGACAATTTATTCTTATTATTTTATATCCCTGTTAATGGATATTTTGTATAAAATATATATGCACAAACATCGATCGTAGGTAATAACGTAATTTCATTATAAAAAAAAAAAATATATTATTCTGCCTCCGACTCAATCTTGGATATTTTTCCCGAGCATATAATAACAACAACAATAACAATAATAATAATGTCATAATCTTCTTCATCGTACAGTCGTCGCTACGAATTTCTGTATCTATAAACTGAATAAAATTACATACTTAACTCATTGTACAATAAAGCGCTTGAAAATCTATAAAGTTTATAAAAATTGTTTTATTTAAAAAAAAATTTATTGTGGCATCAAAGATTTTTTTTTATCATTTATATCGTTTCTGTACCTTTTTTTTTTAGTGACTGTGCATCGAGTTTGTCGAAAATGAGGAATTGCCTGCTAATGCCGAACGAGCAATAATTGCAAGATTATGCAATTGGAAATTTCACGAGATATTTTATAATTGTTCGTTAGGACGATACGTGGAGAATTGTGATTAACACCTTTATGCTTGTTAATCCAAAATTTACATCGTTAAAAATAATACGAAATTTCGTGCAGTGCAGCATTCCTCGTAATTCCATAGTTGAAGCCCCAAATTATTTTCTCATATCGTTAAACCATTTTAAACAAAGGTATCTTTTTTCGGGTACCAGTGAATTTCTCCTAAAAACTAATTAATTAAATTCCTCGTGCTCGCTCCGAATTTCAAGCAACACTTTAATCCGTGCGCAATTCCACCGTCGTACCAAGAACAATGTTGCTCCACACTTTTTGGTGGTTAATGTGTGCATCGTCTGTAACACTGGGTGCTCTCAGAGCCAAGGAACTTGGCGAGGGTAAAGGTATGTTGCAAATATATTATAAATGCATGCCACGCGTCAAAGTACCAAAAATCAAAGCTGATTCAAAAATTTTGAAAAAAAAATTCCCGACCCACCGTCCAAACGTAACCCAACAAGACGAAGCCTCTAATTTCCTTGTTACAAGAATGAAATTAAAAAAAAAAAACATTTTTTATCCAATTATTATATTCCACTGTATCACGTGTCGCATTGCGATTTGAATCACAAGCATTTTTTTTTAAATCAATAAAATACTGCAAACTCTCCTCATAAAGTACCCATAAATTTAAAGCATCTCTATAAACATATATCCCTTATCTGTAGCGCTTAATCGTATAGCGGATATCAAAGAAATTTTATTAACCAACACAATTGCCCCAGAGCCAACCTTAAATTACAATGAGATTGCACGTCCTTACTTTAGCTTATTATTCTCGGAGATGCGATACGTTAAATCATGTCAAAAGACAAATAGGGTATCGTTGTTCCAGCTACGAATGCACCAGCACAATTGCAATGATAATTACACCAGGTGGTATCGGTGCTTTTTAAAAGAGGCAAATAATATCCCATTCCGGTTAATGGAATCCGCTTTTAAAATCATTGTTGGTCAACTGCATTTAAACGTCGGAAATGCAATTACAGCCAAACACAAAACCAATGAGAATGGAATGATTCGATGCATCTAGAATACACACACACATATATATATATATATATTTATATCAAAAGCAGAGTGCATTACATAATAGGATCAGTACCAATGGACCCACGTATGTATAAATAAATATATAACAAAAATTGACTTTTACAATAATTATATAAAGCCGATCAATATCCTATCGAAAATGAATCGCCGAGTCCAATTTAATTTAATACTTTATTATTTCCACAGAAATTGACATAATCATTTACTATGCACGATTTATTCATACAAGCATGAAACGTCTAATTGATTATCGCGACACGTATATCCGCCATGTAAAATTTTTACCTTTCATTAAATTTTTCCCATAATTTTGTCTAAACCTGTACATGCATCGTGTCTCATTTTTAATTAATCCATCCATAAAGTCAATACTCGTTTCCTTTTTACGTAATACTAAAAAAAAATATTCCGAATCTTTGAAGCAATCGAAAAAAAATATAATACAAGGTCTCTTCGCGCTTCAACAGAAACCTTGACGTCATTGCACTTTGATGTTCACGTGTTATAGGCATCCTGAAAGGTGTGAAAAAAAAATCTTGTGAAAATCCCACGGGAACTCATATAATCCGCAACATGTCATTTTGTACCGAGCTTTTCCATCGGTTCGATTAGAATGGAAAAAAAAGGGGAAATAACTATTGCGTAAGTATAGATCTAAAAGAGAAGGAGCTTTGGGTCTATTATACCATACATCAGTATATTCGAGATATCAGAGCCGAGTACTTGAAAATTTATCACTGATACCATCATGCCTGTCGTTAATAGTCAATTGACAGCCACGTGCCTTGCTACTTCGGTAGCTTCTTGACACGTCAATCCACGTGCTTAGCCAATCAGTGAAGCAAGCTCCCGGAAGGTTTACCCTTTAAGGGAATTGGTTCAGGGAGCCACCTCCCCCCCCCCCCTTAATTTACCGAGAGTACGTTACCCACGTGTGATTCTCTACCAGAAAGCTCGAACCTCAAAGTTCATATATCTCAAATGACATTCGTACGTACGATTGATTGACTGTGATGGTGAACAAGTGTTTTTTGGGTGAAAATAAACAAAAAATGGTCCATCTTCTTAAAAATGACGTATCGTGTCGAACAAAGCTCTTGCAAGCTCCATACGCATTTATTGACGGGGCTCTGAACTTGTATGGAGATTCAAATTCAAGGAAGCATGTAATATACTCCGTTACACATATATTACTTATATGACACGTTAGTGAAGCTGCACTTGCGTATAAATAGTCGCACGAGTTACTCTGGTTCGGGTAACTGGGCGTTAATTTTCCAACGTGGCAAACACCAAATGCAGAATTTAGTCAGTGAAATGGATTCGATGCATTGTTAACGTATGTTTAGGATTAGGTACAGTACGATATATGTGTGTATACATCGAAAAATGGAAATTGGATAACAAAGTACAAAATCAATCAAATTTTTTGTTTGAAACGAGCAAAACGTAAACGTGGCATATATGATTTTTCGAGAGTGTTAAATTATACAAAAAATTGTATTGCCAAATTTTCAAACCTGACAGTTCCTCTCTCGTGGGAAAATTGTATTCTTGTCTCTCCTAATGTGCCACGTTCCTGTGGGATTGTAAAGAAAAAAAGTCATTGAAAAGCGTCATGACAAATAGTCTCTCATCCCAAAGGAACGGCGATACATTCATTCGCACGCTCGTCACGTGCCGATTATTCCTATTAGAAGCACCTGCTGTAAATCTTGGCGGCACTTTTTGAGACTCGAACAAAAATATTCCCAATCCTTTTCTTCCTTTTTTTTTTTTGTTTTCTTAAAAAAAAATTTATCCAAAAATAGTGGAAGCTTAGTCAGACCTAGGGCTCGTCAATGCTGCACGATATGTGGAAATTAATAAAGAGTGACGTCAGTCTTTTAATTTCACGGAACAAGACCTTTGTTTAGGATCACAGTGATGCCAATATTATATGTATATAAAAATTCCTGACATGTATGTAGGGTTGTTCAAGAATACCGAACCGTCTGAACCGTGCATATATTATTAGATGGTGATATGTTTGCAAATGACTTCAGGGATCGATCGAATCAACAGCTTCAATGAAATCTGACCAAATGTTCCCGATCTGAATAACCTGCTGAACTTTTATTTCGATTAAGCTCACGAATAGGGAAAGGTCAAAGGTGAACACGAGGCTCATAAGGATTGCCAACTATTTCGCGATGAAATCTAATGAAGCGATGCTGTTCGCACTGAGCGAGAGGGGAATCTTCGAGATGGCATTATCGGAATGGCCGATCTTTGACGTTCGCGTGTGACCGTGTGAATTTAATCGAGAGAAAATGACTAAACGATGGAAATCCAATGCCGGTATAATTTATCAAGTCTTTTATAGTGCATGAAGGTGGATTAAGTTGCACGTACCAATATATTTTGAACATCGAAATAATAGTTTTCGGTTCAGCGGGCGAAACGGGGTCCATTATAGAAATGGGCTGAAAATGAGAAAAGGAAGAAAGGCTATTGGAAATAAAGACGGTTGTACGAGTGGAGAGATAAGTGGCGAAGGAGAAATGCATTTTACGTTGGTAAACGTACATTTACTTAACCCTCTCGAGATTCAGGCATATTGCAAGAGTGCAGAGGCGGGTTCGAAGACCGAAAAGTTTTCCAGTGATGCGGAATGCGCTTTCGACTGGGTCCACATCTTCTTCTTATTTTTTAAGCTCAAGTTCAAACTTTGTAATTATTGTGTAAAGGAGGATGGAGACTCGGCGAGCTATGGCCAAGTAATGTGCGGGAGAGAGATAAGTACTCTAATTAAAAAGGTCATCAATGCAGTGTCACTGCACGATGATTCTAGGAATCAGTGCAATTTTAATTGAAGTAAATAAATGCATTAATCATCGTGCAATTAAAATGGGCATGCTGGATTTTTAATGGTTCGTAATTTTTTTTTTTTTTTTTATAACAAATATAGTATATATAATATATTCAATACAATTTATGACATTTTTGTAAATATTTTCTGGTGTGACACATAGTGAAAAAGTAATAAACGTTGTTAATCGTTGTAATTAATATATGACGATTTGTTTGACTTGTAAATGTGGCGGCTAATCAGGATTTTATTTAAAAAAAAAAAATATTATTGATTTTTCATATATTACAAGCAAATCCATTTCACCCCGAGCGACATTATTTCATGCCAATTTATTACGGAT